ATCTGGACGTGTGTGAGACAGGTAGATGAGTCTTCCTACAAGGCTTTGATATCATTCCTTATCCTCTACTTCTTCTCTTTTTGCAGCTTCCAATTTCAAATTAGGTTCAATAGGAGTCTCAGCTACCTTGCATCCAAGAAAACATGTTTCTCTAAGTAAATCAAGAATATATTTTCTTTGATTAACAAAGATACCTTTCTTAGATCTCGCAAACTCCATTACTAGGAAGTACTTTAACGTTCCTAGGTCCTTGATTTGAAATTCACTTGTGAGTCTTTTCTTTAAAGTGGCCAATTCTACTTCATCATCACCTTTAAGCACAATGTCATCTACATAGACAATCAAAATTGCAATTTTATTGTTTTCAAAACGTTTATAAAAGATGGTATGATCAACTTGACTCTGAAGAAATCTATAGCTCATGACTACTTTACCAAATCGTTCAAACCATGCTCTTGGAGATTGTTTGAGTCCATATAGAGATTTCTTTAACTGACATACTTTGCCCTTCCTAAGATTAGCTTCAAAACGTGGTGATAAACTCATAAATACTTCTTCTTCAAGATCTCCATTTAGAAAGGCATTTTTATATCAAGTTGGTGAAGGGGCCAATCTAAATTTGCAACTAGAGATAAAAGTATTCTAATGGAGTTGATTTTAGCAACAGAAGCAAAAGTTTCCTGATAATCAATCTCATAGGTTTGAGTAAATCCTTTTGCAACTAGTCTAGCTTTATACCTTTCAACACTACCATCAGCATTACACTTGATTGTAAACACCCATTTGCACCCCACAGTTTTTTTATCTCTTGTCAAATCTACTATCTCCCATGTACAATTCTGTTTTAGAGCATTCATCTCCTCCATAACAGTTAGTTTCCAATTTGGATCATTTAAGGCTTCTTGTGTGTTCCTTGGAATAAACAAGTTAGTTATCCTAGACGTAAAAGCTTTATGATTACTTGACAGTTTCTCATAAGAGATATAGTTAGCTAGAGGATATTTGGTGCAAGTTCAAATCTTTTCTTAAGGCTATAGGAACACCAAGATCAGAAACAACAGATGAAACATTTTTAATATTTGGAGTGACAAGGATGGAAGATTGATTACCTAGAGTTTCAAAATTATCCCTCGGAGTTTCAGATTGGGTCTGTGATGAGTCAGCTATCAGTCCTCATTCGTTTGATTGAGTCTTCTTATAGTATAAAACTTAAACTCAGGATTTAGATCAATTTGATCATTTCGTAGTAATTCTCCCCCTGAATGAGAATTTTCTACACTTGGCATTGAAGGACTAATACAGTTAGAACTAGGACTAGTAAAATTAGGAAGAGGGACAGGTATATCCCAAAAATTATCATCCTCTAAATTTAGTTTCTCCCCCTGAAGATAATTTTGGGTAAAAAAAGGTTGATTTTCTAGAAATGACATATCCATACTTACATGTAGTTTTTTTGTTTGAGGATCAAAACATTTATACTTTTTTTTTTCTAAAATCATAGCCCAAAAAGATGCATTTAATTTCCCTATGATCCAATTTTGATCGAAATGGACTAGGAATATTACTACAAAAACTTAATACAAAATCAAGTTCAATTCTACAAATCACATTGAAAAAGTATTTAAAAAGTAACTTATTATATGAGCTAATTCAAGCTCATTCCAAATAGTCAATCTAAGCTCAACTCAACTTTGATCAATTGAGTTAGGTCCATGGATTGGGTCATGGACCTAGGTTTTAATGGTTGGGCCGAGCTTGCTTGAAGCGCGTAGGGTTTGAGCCTAGGTCGAGCTCAAGCCTTTTCTTCTTTGGGCTAGGCTGGATTTGGCCAGACTAATGATGAGGTTGACTTTTACCCTTTCTCTAATGTATTAAAGAGATGAATAACTTTTTTAATGAGAAAATTTCTTTAATAGGTCATTTTAGAAACTATATTTCACAAATAGTTTAAGTTTTAAATTTTTATATATTTGGATTCTCAGATTTTAAATTTTCATTAATTCTAAGATTGCCCTCCATTATTATTGTTTTATTTTATTAAATTTGTTTTTTTAATTTAAATGATTAGATTTGATTTTTATCCATTCTTTTCCATATTTAGATTTCAAATCTCTCTCTTGACCCAATCCGAAAAACCTCATATTTTTTCTAATATAATACCAAATTCTTCATTTTGAAATAAAAAATTAAAAAACTCATCTCTCACCGAATTTGGTATTTTTTTCTAGCTTTTTTTTCTCACGTCTTTTTTTTTACGATAATATGATAAAAATGTATACTTCAAAAGATATATAATATATAACTTTTTTAGTGGTATATACTCAAATATTTATATTATATAATATATAACTTTTGGTGGTATATACTCAAATATTAGGTTATATAATATATACTTTGGAGTATTGTGCAATATATCTCAAATCTAATAAACCTCATAACACGATTTTTATGATTTGAAAAAAAAAATCAATGAAAAGCTGGAGTTACCAAACAGATAACTAATGAACAAATGCTAATTAAGATTAATGAATTGTATAGAAAAATTCCAAAATTGCAAATTATTCGTTCATTGTGTTTGACACTACGATATATTGCACAACCATTTGAGGGCTTATGAGAAAACAGAACCAAAAAAAAATCAAACTCAAAATCTCACACCCATCTCTTCGATACAAGACATAGCCATCATAGATCTCTGGAAACAAACAACAAATACATAAACCATACATATGAATCCAAGCTAACACCCACAACCAATGTAAATAAAAAGAACATCTATTTAATAGATTCAATTTTTTTTTTTCAAGAATGGTAAAATTATACCATCAATTGTAAATATATAGTAAAAGAGATCTTGTATATACCTATAATTGTTGAAAATATACCTCTTTATCGGACTTGGATATACGCAAGGAGTGATCACATAGTCGACAACAGTGACAACAGTAGATTTGCAAGGTTTGACTATGGATTGCTTCCGTAAGGTCTGACGACTAGAGTCTCGATGGAAAATAGCAACATCAACGACAGAAAAAAATAGACTACAGAAAACAACAATGGCAGTGAGCAGGATGTGCGACGTTGGTGGTTTGTTGGCAAGCAATCTTCTACTAATAAAAGCAACGAAATCTGACTAAAAAAGGATCGCAGTCACCTTCATTAGTCTTTTATGTGGGTGTGGTGGTGCTGGATGATTTTAGGTTTTTAAATTAGAGATTTTAGGTACCAAGCAAGATTTAAGAATTTCAAAACAAAAATCGGGATTTCATGAAATGCACAATTTTAAGGATTTCAAAACAAAAATTAGGAAACCGTTCAAATTTTAAATTTATTCCATAATCGATTTATTTTTTATCTTTATTTAACGTATATTAGAAAATGAACTATGAGTAATTTGTCCAATAGATTCCATCCATAATAAGTCAATCTTTAAACAATAATGTAAACTCTTGAAAAGTTAAGCTAATTGTATAAATAAATCCTAGACTAGTTGAGTAGTAATCATTTTTTAATTAAAATTGTTTTATACTTTTATTGTTTATTTTTCATTTATATAACGATTTTTCTTCTAAATATACCGCTTTTATTAGTTGATAAGATTTTATTATAAAATATTTTAAAATCATATTTAATTTTTTAATTTTACTTTGTTATTATTAATTAATATCAATAAATTTCTTAAAATAAAGTTCATTATTATTAAATATTCAATAATAATATTTTATAATGTTTGATATTATTTTTTTTATAAAAAAGTGTTTTAATGGATGCTTTTTAATTTAATTGTTCATTATTTATTAATATTAAATAAATTATTATAATAAAAATATTTATAATAAACTAAATAAAAGTTTATTACTATCTTAATTGAAAAAAAAAAATAGCACAATAATGTAATTGCAATTAGCTAGAAAGAAAAAAATAGATGTACTAATAATTGTAATATATCCATCAATTCCAATTCCGGTGTTAATAAACATCACGGAATTCTAGTTCCAATTCTAGAAAATTTTTAGTAAATAACATAAAAAGGATAACATTCTCATTCCTATTAATTTATATTATGATTTCTGGTAAGCACAACCTAAACTCAAACTAAAGCATAAAATCTATTCAATACAGAAAGAGCAACAGAAAAGTTTAGAACATACGATAATGGTCCATCTCAAAAGCTAACAATTACAAGTTTAGCTGAAATCCATAATACTAGTAGAATATTTAAGGCAATAGAGGCCACTATTAGCATTAGGAGGCTGCATATGCTATCAAGTAAGGATTGTAGTAAAAACAGAAGGTAAGAAGGTTGACAATGACTCAGTTTATAAATAAAATGATAAGAGTTTATAGCCTGAGAAAAAAATGGAGATGCATCAGATAAACTTCAGGAACATAAAATAAATGAAATGGGGAGAGAGGGATATTGAATCACTGAACAGTGATAGAGAGATGGTGAGAAAGAAGAGATCATGGAGAAGCAGAAGTAGAGGAAATGATTGAAGAGAGGAGAATTGAGAGGGAGATAGCGATGGGAAAGGGAGGAAAAGTGAGTGTAAAGGAGTTTACCTAACGTGAAGCTTCAATCTATTCACTTATGAAAAGTTTTGAAAGTTCGACTTTATAATAAAAGGATTGCAAGTGCATTGTAACAATTACTATATTCAAGTAGTTGTGAAATATGTCAGAACAAAAAAAAAAAAAAATAGAAACAAAGAAATGTGAATAAGCCACCAACGGGCCACGCCAATGGCAAGAGCTTGAAGTTTCTTAATCATACCGACTTCGAAGTCTCGAGTTCAAACCTTCGAATAGTTTAATACAAAAAATCTTTGATGTCTTCCATTTCTGAATTTTGGGACGAGTTTGAGTGCCCCAGGTACAGGAGAGCAAAATTCAAACTCCCAATTATCAAACAATAAAAAAATAATAAAAAATAAATTAAGAAATGTGAAGAAGGGAATTCTCAAAGGATGATATTTTCAAAACCCTCTCTCAATCTCACATTTCATCCAAAACTATTCACAACTATTTTATTTTTTGAAAATAACTATTGGCATTTAAGGTACCAGAACACCCAAAATATTTTAATATTCTACATTTCTTGCAAAAAGCACTTGAGACTATCAACATCTAAATGTCATTACTTACTGGTGGAAGCATCATAAACTTCCTTGTCTATGATTACATCATTAAAATGTCGTAAACAAATGAAGAAATCATGGGATATACGAGTGAAGTGACCATTACCCAATGGCAAGCCGCCCCAATCTGAGGATAACCATGGCATCTCTGGGAGCTTGCTTTTTTGGACAACATCCAACCTGTTCACCAATCTTATGAGCTTTCTTAAACAACAGCAGAGAGTATGTCATCGGCCTAGATATTTGGCTGAAAAGGAGAATGAATAAATAAATTTATCTATACAGTGGGATACTTTCGAGGGAGACAAAAATTGACACGTAATATACAAGAGCTTCAAATAGTTCAGCAAAGGGACCATACAACAGGTTCTAAGCTTACAAACCAGCTCCTTCGGGTGATCAGAACTGACCCATTCCACAGCGTGGCATCATAGAAACTGCTGGAAGTTGTCCGAAATATCTTAAACGATGGCCGAAAGGACATCATCTGACTCAACTTTAAGCTGAAAATATGTAAAATGTGAGGCATATTTGACAGGGACGCTGGTACATAGCAACTGGAGCTGATCATTAAAATATAACATACCAACTTCAGATGATTCAACAAAGCACCACGCAATAGGTTCCTCAGCTTCTCACAAATATCCACCATGTGTCCTGAGCGGACCAATTCATCTATTCTGCACCATAAGTATTGAATAGCCGTATAGGGGAAACAAACAGAGAATGGTCTTTTTCTGTTAATTATGTCTGCTGGTGGCTGCAGAGAGTTGGAACATGTTTCAGTACGTGGCTCAGAGTGTTAGAAATTCATTTGAAAATGTTACAATTAGAAAGAGAGGTTCAACGTACACACCATCACGATTTCTTATACATTTAGTCGATGTTATATCATTGGTAAGTTCACGAATTGAATTTATCACTAGGCATAATTAATATAGTAAATTCTTCATACATGGTCAATAGTTAGATAATTGTTCTTTGATGAGTTTTATTAAAGAATATTCCTCAAATTGGAGTTAAGATAATAAGTGAAGGGGATTGCTTTGGAAGATGCAGGACTTTCAGATACCCAAATAAATAAAAGAGAGCTTCATTTTGTCGATATACTGATCGATAGAATTTGAAATATGAAAGCCAACACAATTTACCAGTGATGCAAATGATTCCATGCATTCCAGCAACAGATGTGTAGCCTCAGTATATCGACCATAATCAACGTATAATCGAAACAATGATGCAGGATTTGATTCTTCACCGGTCATCCCCCAAGACTTTGCCCTTCGACGATCCTGTCATAATATTGTTGGCTCCATTCTATTATATCAATGTACAAATAAAAACCACAACAGGACGTGTACGAGTAAATAATATGGGAAATAAAAATTAAAATTCAAACTTCTGCTCAACCCACCTATATTTATGCGATAGAGATGCGTACATTTTATTACATTGAAATTCTATCGTTTGCAATCTCTTTACGGTAAATCAACTCTGGACCATTTTAGCATTTCACGAGTTAAGATAATTTTGAACATTTTGTTATCTACATCTGCTTAAACACTTATATTTGCTAAAAGAATTGTGAAATTGAATTAACAGCAGCAAGAAAAAACTAAGGCGACCTGTGTCAAACATCCAGGAAATACAATGTTTAGGTTGAAGTTTCCGTGCAACACAAGTCAAATGCCTGAGGCAAGCAAACTAGTTAAGGCTGGTGGCTGCGGCTAATGGCAAGAGCTGGGGGATATAGTAACGTGTTCTAGTTTCTTAAGCCAAAAATTTATAGAAGGTTTCATGAGAAAATAATGTATATGCTGGAACAATAAGATTTCATAAATGTTGAACGGTTGCCCAAATTTCCATTTAGCTGCTTAATTCTCTCCAACTGCTAGCTGCAATCGTATGCCTTGCCGTTTGTATGTTAAACCTTTCTCCAATGAGTCTCAATTATCTCATAGTGATTTAAATACCAAGTTCTCTCCGTAATTCCTCAAGTTAAACAAGAATTGCACCAACGACTAAAGACAATGCTAAGATTTTTCATCCCGTAAAAATGACTAAAATATAAATCAGTGGCAAAAAGAAGAACCTTAAACATAAGAACCAGCCAAAGAGGCAATTCCATCTTAGAATCCGTCCGAAGAAGTGTTTCAGCCACAATAAACGGCAATCTAGGATTGAAACTTTTATATTTTTCCTGCAAATTTTCAATATAAATGATTAAGATAGTGAAAATTATAATTATTAAAATACAGAGTAGATAAACGTGACAAGGAATAGAAACAACAGACAAGTGAAATAAAAATACAAATGATAACAGCATTTGCTATCTAGTTTCTTTAACAAGCAACTGAATAAACTATATGCATTTAATCTTTACAAAGAGTAAAGAGAAAATAATGCACGAATAAGTTGTCTGAACTTTTAAATGGACTTAAAATGATTCTTTATATGAGCTAATGCAACAAAAAATATGCAAGAGTACATATCAAAAAAGTTCATGCACATTAAAAAATAATGCATTTACAGTGCTATCGTAGCGACATTATAGAACTTTCAGAATATTCCCATATAATAGTAACAAACATTCTGTAAAATGACAAACCTGATGTAGCCTAAAGTTCTCAAATAATCCACCAAGAAAATATTTATTCACAATGGAAATTTGATTCTAATGATGTGTCAATACAAAGCCCAAAACCTCTATTTATTTAGGAAAAAAAAAACAACTAAGTATTTAAAAACTAAAAAAATTAAACCAAAAATATAAACTAACTCACTACATCACAACCTATAATGTCTACCATATAATTTTACTAGGGAAAATCTTAATGCAACGTATATGAAATAATATGAAGGTACGTACAAGATAAAGTTCCAGAGTTTCCCAATGGCCATATCCGTTTAGATGCTGACGGACAGGAATCACATCAAGTGAACCATGAACATCATCTCCACCATTTGGAGATATCAATAGAAGACTATTTGTTCTTGGATCATTCCTGAAGTTGTATACAGGCAACAGAAATTTGAGTACAAGTTAGCAATTGAGTTTCTTACTTGTGAAGCTCACCAACCAATAGGAGAAGCAACTGAAATGATTTCTCACAAAAAAGGTTTATCTTACCGAAGCCCAGATGAACTTAATCTACTAGGGCAACATTTCAATGACATGGCAGAGAAGACTCTTTCCAACTCCCTGAGTCAACAAAGTTCAAGATTTGCAATTCTGAGCAGAATGAATGGATTTTTGTTGTTTTAATGCAATGACAGCATAAATCAAAATCGATACCTCTTTAATTCTGAATCTCTCCAGAATCTCAGTACAATAGTAAATGCCATATCATAAAAATTGTTCTGGACCAAAAGATCAACCAACTCTGAAGGGGCCTCATGAATCCCTGACAAACGAGAGTCTGCATAACATTTAAGTTGATGCAATCTACAAATAGGTGCTTTAATATCTTAGATAGATTAAAGGCTTAAGTTTTTGTACTAGGATTTTATTATATTTTCTCATCCTGCTTCACAGAAATCATAATACAGAACAACCCATATCCTTACCGGTGAATGGCCATTTGATATTTGCTACTGAAAGGAGATACTCTGACGAAGTTAGGACAAATTCATTTTCTAGTTGCTTCATATCGATAAAAGAATTCTGTTTTTGAGGCCTGATATCATCATTTGCAACTGTGCCTAAAAAAAGAAGCCATTTTTCTCAAGCAAAGGAATATTTTCAATTCAAAACAGTGAAAAATAAATACCATTCAGATCCAGAGAAAAGTAGTGATAAATTAGAAAATTTTGTCTGGAATTAAGAAAAGTACAAGGGGAATAAAGAATTCCTTGAATAAAACGTTACTTACACTGTTCGTCAACAGTTCTTTTAGCTTTTTTACTCGGGTAGTGCTTGCTCTGAATATCATCTCTTTCAACTGGGGATTCAATCCATGCAAAATCAGGATGAACAAGATGCAATGCATTAATAGCAGCAGAAAGCCCATTCAATCGTTCTAGCAGCAAGGATGAACTGAACTGGTTATCTCCCAGAGCAAGTTCCATTCTTAAACGAACTGAATAAAGGTAAATATAACTTGCTGCTTTTTGCCAATTATGTCGGTGTATTTCAAAGGCATATAGCAACTTATACAAGCTTGGCTTCGACAAGAGATCAGAACGTTCTGCCTGCATTTTGATGAAGAAACCCTGGACATGAGTTGTCTGAGAGCATCTGTTTTCTTTTTCCCTCTCTCTTTTTTATCTTTTTGCAAACAAGCTAGTAAGATAAAATAACATCGGGATGAACATATTATAAACTTCATATTCAAGCTTGACAGCTAGTACCTTCCACACAAGCTCCTGCTCCACCTTTTCTGCTAATCCAATGAATGGTAATTCACCACAACAAAGAATCTGTACAATGGACCATTAAGAGACATCTTAAACTGAGAATAGTGAAGGCAGATCTCTTCTTACTTCAGGAAATACAAAAGGAGAGTACAAACGGTGGAGAGCATGTCACAAAAACAATTAAAGGAAACACCAAGACTGCAGAAAACATAGGTTTCCTGATGTAACCGTTTCTAACAAAGAATACATTACTACGTTTTCATTTCCTAGCTTGTCAATAAAAATTTAAAAAGTTGAACCACTTCAACCTTCGACCAAAATTTATTTTCTAATTATGCTCTGTTTTCTGTAACCAAAATTTGAGGTTCTTTTTTGTACATGTTGTCAGTTTCACCTTTTGGAAGGGCTGTTCTTTTTGTGGGTCCATCGCTTTTTCATCTTCATAATGAAAATTGATATCAAATTAACAGAAAAAAATATACGGGGGATTTTTTAAGACAGTGGAAGTACCAATTTTCTCAAGTGATGCTACATCAATGAAATGACTTGAACTGACATTAATTTGAAAGTCAAATTACCATAAATCGTAATTCTTCATCTAATTTTCTTGTGTATTCATCATTGCATCTTTTTTCTTTTGTTTCGATCAAGATTTTTCGACTCTTGGTACATCTATATTCAAATTGATCTTATATTCACCTCAAACAAACCGTCCCACTGGCCGACCATGACCCCCTGTTATTTTGAGATCGTATCTAGTATTCAAAGTTTAAAAAAATTGCTCAGCAATAGTCAGATAAGTGGGGTACTCCCATAGCAATTGGGGTTATGGATTTTCAATTTATGGTGGAGCAGCAGAAAATATAACTAAAAAAACTATTTCAATATAGCAGCGTCAGTTAGAACCATTAAAGAGTCCTACTGGTTTGGAATTTATTTGGCTCAAACGAGCCGAGAGTAGGAGAAGTAAAAATTGGAACAAAAATATCGCACTGCTCTAAGTTTCTATTTTTGACGATAGTTGGAGTCGGCAGCTCTCTTTAGGGTTCTCTCAAGAAAGTCGCCCTTCCCCCTTCACGCAACATTCTTGAACTTGCTAAAGAATCGAAACTTGAACCTTTGTATAGGCATTCAATTCAAGAAAGCACCGGGGGTGGGTGCATGGAAGACGATTCCAAAGCTCACACATCGACTTGGGAAGAATCAATTCCAAGCTTTCTGTTAAATATATAAACGAATCATTTCTGGGAGACAATTGGCCAAATCCAATGAAATCGCTCAAGGACTTGAACCTACAACATCGAGTTTTGGATTGTGGGGGAGCAATACAAACGTCGTGTTGCACCCATAGTTCTACATGAGATTGCCTCACTATCTATCAATGGATGGGAGGGTAAAGGAAATGAAACAAATGATACGGTAAAGCTAGGATAGCAAGCTATTGCCTCAACTAGCTAACCAGATGCGGCTTCGAAATTTCTTATGGGAACAGGCATCCCGGGCGACTAAATCAGTATATATTTTGTTTTACACCTATGCCAGCTAGGCAAGAGAATAACAAGTTACAAATTCTGATGCAGTAGGACATGCCTAATACTACGAAATTCATACATATACATTTCTGCAACACCTTGAACAGAGGGACAAATACTCAATGTTGAAAGAACTTATTGATTATTGTCAACCTCCTGTAACAAGGAATCTTTGGATATTAGTTTGAAAGGGAAAGACCAAATATTAATCCTTTCGCAAAGATAATTCCCTCTAAAGGGGTTGCAAGACCCACCTATCGATCAGGGACAAAAGTGGGACTTATTGATCCAATGATGTCGAAACAATCAACGTATTGATATTGGAAGAGCTAGTAGAAATTCCTCGATTTCTCAAGACATCTCTCTTTTTAGGAGGCATCAAGGATTCAGCTGCTCTACCAAATGAGCTATCCCATCCATTTCTAACACATTATCCTTATTTTAGTAGATGACATAACACAACATCGTTGTTCGTAGCCATGTGCTCTAATTCTTTGAGCTACTCATATTGACAAATTCTGTATAATGCCATTTGATCACAGAATTCACCAAGATCAGGGGATTCAATTAATCGAGATTCAAAAGCTAAAATTTCTCAACTGAAGAAGATATTTCTCCCTCTCTTTTTTCTCGAAGAGAAGGGGTTGCTAACTTAACGGTAGAGTACTCTGATTTTAAGAGCGGGCATACTTTTTTTTTACATATCTCTCGTTATTTGGGACCCTATTCATCTTTGGGCTTATATTCTATTCACAAGAACTCCTGAGGATTGGCCTTGTGGCATTGGAGCAAGGGAAAATGGGACTTGGGACTTTGGTGGAAAGGGTTCAAATCCATGGTAGCCACTTAACTAGATAGAGTCCTAACATCTTTTTGGCCACCGTATGCTGTAGGGTTTTGCACATGCCTTTTGAGATAAGTTGAGGTGCGTGTAAGCTTTCTCGAACACTCACAAATGAAAAAAAAATTTAAAACTCATTTTTAACAACTGAGCACATTGATAAGGGTTGAAATCGAGTTTTAAAACCCATTGGGCTCAACCAAACATAAAGAAGACTGAAACTAGGCCACGCTAACAGCACGAACTCAACAATCTAAAAAATCTTAAAGTAACCAGCAAATCTTCCACACAACTCATGGAAGTCACAATATTCCTTTCGGACTGAAATCAATTCAATGAGAGAGCAAACATACCCTAACTTAGACCCCCTATTCAAATGTTTATCATATGAAAAATTGCAATAAGGAAAAGAACATTCAGTTAAATTGGGACATGAACTTCTACAAGGACAAAGTTTAAGAAGAAAGCGCTAAAAATCATGCTAGTACATGAAGAAGAGGCCAATGATTGAGGAGAGGCATAATTGAAGGTGCAGTAAAGGCTAAATGAAAATATGAGAAACATGGCTGAATTGAATCATCCCTGAACTCAATAGTGGGATTACCTGCACGGAGCACAATGAAAATGAAAGGGAGCTGAAGAAGAATGAGGTTTTGATTTTAGCCAACTGTAGAGCAAGTCATAATTTCATTTCACAAGAACTCGTACAACCCTTAATGGTGAATACAACGAGTAATTATCAAATTTAAATCTTTATTTTTTCAAAGAACTATTTGTACTTTCAGAATTGTTATACTTCAAAAACAGATTTGAGAATTGAGATGTTACAACGAATCACGATTCTGGTTATCAAATGGAATTTTATTTTCTTGAAACTCAATTTTGGGTGGTCGCAACCAAAGAAAGACTATATGCAACTACAGGTGTACAAAGTCATTATTTATGAAAGGATAATTATTTAAACATTGCGACAAGTGGCAGACAAAGTCACCAATAATTCGTTTGTGTTATAAACCCAAGAAACCTTAATTAGTAAAATAAATATAAGGAATTATATTATAGGTTTTCTATTTCAATTTTGGAAGTGGCTTTCATTGCAATGGCAGATGAAGTTACCCGGCCAAGCAAGATAACAACTGGAACATGATATCTTTATTTTGACTATTAATTCAAGCCATAGTAAAAGTGATGCTGAAAAGGAAATAGGCAACGAACCTTAATGTCATGACACTCATAAATAACTATTATGAAACGCCTTAAGCAGAGATATTTGCTCTCCTCTTCTGGATTTGAAATTATTGCACAATATGCATCATAGAATTGATGTAGATCCAGAGCAAACTTGAAGACATTTGCCCAAAGCCGTCCTTGGATAGAAATGGCAGATTCATTGAAAGGAAGTCTACCACAGTTATTGTCTTTCGGAGTTACAGCTTCTTCTACTAGCTCAAGTGCAGCAAGAACGAACTCAAAAGCTCCTTTGCTGATATTATACTGCTCAAACAATTGCATTGCCCACTGGTAGTAATGGAACCTCCATGTGATACTTGATAAACAACCAGCTGAGAAAAAGTGAGGTGGGACATGTGATTAATACACAAGACCAAAACGCGAAATCAGCTGTTCCATAACAAGCTTTTAAAGGCATTTCACTTTTATTCAATGAACTTACTAGTCTCAAAAGAGGAAAATCCCACTTCGTGTGGCAAACTCTGCAAAGCCTGGGAAGATCTGTTTCCAGATGAAGCTCTGCATAGAACCATAAAGAAAGTGAAATCACCTTGCAACAAATGAATATATTTCATTATTTTACAAAAAAAAAAAAGAAAAAAAAGTAATTAAAAAAGAGAACATATTTTTTTTCTTCTTTTTAACATTTTGAAGCTGAATATTCGGGATAATATTACTATATGACACAGGAGATTCTACATGAACATGTCACTGATTAAACAAAAAAGTATTCAACTATAAAATGAAAAATCAGGTGATGCAATTCCTCGTGAGGAGGATAACAACCATGAGCATTTAATTGTGCATGGAAGTAAAATAAAACCATCATTGAATTCTTGGACACAATACCTGAAGAAACTGCATATAGCTTCGTGAACCTTCCTCTCTTTCAGCACTCCGTGCAACTTATAATGTGCCTGAGCAAGTTGACAACAACCAAGCAGGTGATGCATTACACACCATCCACCATCCGCATCTTGCATGCATTGTGATGTTTTCTCATTTTGTGATTGTGCCTTCACTACACTGAGCAGGTACTTTTTTTTGTTTGGAGGGGAGCAATAGAAAATAAACTATATAAGAATGGGAACGAAAAGTACAGAGGAAAAAAAAAATAAAAGAAAATAGAGAGATTCTGAAGCAAATTAGAGAGAAACTATAACAAATTATTACTAGTAACCAGTACAAAATGATGGAAGCCACTAAGTGGGCTCTGTCTCTCTCTAGCCGGATCTACCCTGGTCCCCTGGGTCTCTCATCAAATAACTATCCCAACAGAAACTGGCAATATGATACTTTCTCCTTCTGATGGCCTCAGGCCATTAGTTACAACTAGGCACAAGACAAGCATGTTGCATGAAGATGTTCTTTTCTAGCACTGCAGCACATGACACAGTCACAATAAAAAGGACCTAAACTCAAATTCTTTATGTAATACACTCATGCACAGCAGCTGTGAGGTTCGAATTGGTAACACCATTAGTTTGCACTCAAGCGACAATCAGCAGCAACCTCTAATTAAGGAACATCTTGAGATCTTAACAACAGTTGAAATTTGTTAGATAATTAACTATATTGCAATACTCAAAGAAATTACAATATCGATAGTCTTTTCAGAGGGCTATCTCTCTCCCAAGAACTCTCTCAAGTTCCTTACACAAAACTATTCTCCAAGATACTTTCCTTCTCCCCTACTACCCTTATTTATAACCAACTTACCCCTATCCAATTACCATAACGCCCCTAACCCAAATACTAATATCATTCCTTAACTATCCCTAATAGGACTCTCACATTACCCCGCCCTTCAAAGACACCTTGTCCTGAAGGTGTGCATATGAAAACAAACTGACTTTTAACACCATCAAAACTAGAAACCTAGCTAAATAACAACTAAGAAAACCCTAGATTTTGACTACTAACGGACGGCGGCGGGCGGTGTGTGCGGCAGATGGCGGGTTGTGCGAAAGATGGTGTTGGCCGACGGCAGATGGTGGTGGTTGGCGGCAGGCAGTGGCAGATGCACAGGCGGCGGACGATGGTAGTCCATTGTCGGCGGCGTGCGGCGAGCGGCGGCCAACGGGCACATCAGGCAGCCTAGGTTGGAGGGCCTACTACCAAGGAGAAAAAGTGGAGGGGCAGCTAGGGTTACTTCAGATTTTAGGTTTAAAATCAAGGAAACCTTGGCCCAAAAGCCCATCTTTTATTTTTATCTCCTTTTTTATCCTTGAGAAGTTATGACCTCAGCCAATTTATCTAATTTCAGCCCATTCCCCTCATTTACTTTCAGCCCATTTCCCTTAGCCCCTTTGACTCCAAAGATATTAGGGTAAGAAACCCTAGCAGCTTCCCCCTTCTCCTTCGCCGTTTTGAGACGTAGGTGTCGCCATTGTTGTTCCTGCAACTCCGACCACTCCCTCCAACCACTCCAACAATCGCCGGCGAAGTCTTCCATCCATCCCGTCTTTCTTTTCTCTTTCATTTTCGCCATTATTTTCCACTTTTCCCGAGCTTCACGGGTATTCAATCCCCTTCCACTTCGGTTTTTCGTTTCTTGCCACAGAACCACCCATGGTCGACCTCCCTTCTAACATCCAACCTCCGTTGCAAGTTGTATCTCCCCTGTTTCCCTGCCCAATCTTCAAATTTTGTCGTCGATCTCTTTCAAATCGCATACGAGCCTTCCTTCCCGATATTCTTTTTCTCTTCTTTTTTCGTCTCTTCTTCATCGAAAAACTCCCGTGCAAAAAAGATTCAGCCATCCTCGGACTCGTGCTCGTCCTTCTTAGATATTCAATTTCTTCTTCATACTTCCTTCTGCAAATTTGTTGTAGTTGCATTCTTTCTCTCCTCCTTAGTTTCTTCATACTCTATTGAGGGTAGTTGTTATCCTCTGTTCTCGAGGAATCCCTGCACGAAGACCTTCCTTCTCGTTGGTTAATTTTCAATCGAACTCCGTTCCACATTCTTGGGTACGATCGTCGCCTTCCAGCAACTCGTTGCCCCTGCTTTCAATATTCCAGCTTGATTGTTTTTCACATATTTCGCACCTCTTGTTCTATTTTTTGTAGTACAGCTTCTATTTTCTGCTGCGTTTGTTTCATAAGATCACTTTCTTCAGCCAAACATCTATGAATGTTCAATATGAACTCCAACACACGATCACCATCCTTCCGCATGAACTCCAATACACGATCACGATCCATGACTAGGATGAACTTGCTCTGATACCAATTCGTTAGGATCCCAAATACAAGAACCTAACCAGATAACTATATTGCAATACCCAAAGAGAAATTACAATATCGATAGCCTTTCGAGAGGGCTATCTCTCCCAAGAACTCTCTCAAGTTCCTTACACAACTATTCTCCAAGATACTTTTCTTCTCCCCTACTACCCGTATTTATAACTGTTAGAGTATAGATATTAGTATATTTTATATTCTTGTATAATATTAATTTGTCTTTTACCTTCTCCTTATAAAATTAGGTCAACCTTGTATATTTGTCTATATATATAGACTTTAATAATGAGAATACATCACATTGGATTCTCTCCAACCTTAGTCTCTACATGGTATCAGAGCTCTAGGTTTCTTCTAAAATTTTTGTGCCCATTAG